TCGAGTGCGACAAAGTTCAGTGACTTCAAACACATTGTGGGCAAACTTGAATTTCTTTGGGCAGATTATTATACCAAGATATTTTGTTTTTGTGTCCACCGTGGAGCTCCGGACCTTATATATCCAGGAACTTCCTTATATGAGCACATTTTGTGAATGCATCTTGCAAAAAAATCGGACTTACGCACGCACATTTCCAGTACAACTTAAGGAAATTAGTAACTGTCGTTAAAGTCCGTTTACTATGATGTATTCTTCGAGAAAATTAAATGATAAGAAGGTTATAACCACAGCTTGCAACTTTTGAAGACAAATTGCCTCTTCTTTCCAGGTTTATGGCCGCACAAACCACTTCTGCGCCAAGTCGAAAAACTCTGTTTTGAATTTCCCGCTTTTTTTCACCTGACCAACATTGACGTCACAAGCTGTTTTTTCCGGCAATTTTTCCGACCGCTCTACGAAGATAAGGGCCAAAAAATAGCAATTTTTAACTGCAAATATCTCGGAGATACTTGCTTCAATTGAGCTGAAACTTCATAGTATGTTTATTTGGTTCATATTAAACACATTTCACTAGAATTGAACTAAAATAAAAAATGTCGAATTTTTGGTTCATTTGACCTGAAATATAAAATGACGCTATCGCTGGACATCAAACAGCAAGAGTTGATTAATTTGAATTGCAGCCTACGAGTACAGCCGCTGCATTTGCTCTCTGGAATTTCTTATTCATTTCATGTTTTTTCTTGAATAGCCTTTTTCTAGCAAATGATTTTTACTAACAAGGGAAAACTGGCCTTCACCCGTGTCGCTCCGCATGTGACGAAACTTTTAGAATAGACTTTCGGCCTCAAGATAAGTCAATATTTGTTCAGGCGTTCCCTAGCTTTTCTGTGTCACCTTCAAGCGTCGTGAAAAATGTTTTCCATACTGAAATGATCCAAATAAAGGACGTTGATGTTCAGTTGAAGCTGGGAAACACAACATGGAAAAACAATTCTTACTGCAAAATAGGTTAAAGGCTTCTGGCATCAGTGCACTGTTAAAACGTGTCGGTGGTATAGTGGTGGGCATAGCTGCCTTCCAATTCCGTTTACCCGGGTTCGATTCCCGGCCAACGCATTTAGGCGGCGTTCCCTTTTTGCTCGAGCCTGTAACGAGTAGCCTAAGCAAAACTGCTTGCCTCATGATTCTAAAAATTTTACGGTAGTTCAAACGCGTGCTGAAGGAAATACTTTATCTCTGCTGCCTTTTGATAATCCGTTCGCCAAGATATTAAGAAAACGTACAGAAAATGTTACGTAAAAAGCAGGAGCCAAATTTGTATTTTATGACCTACCAGTTTCAATTTTTTGGCCCTATTTTTCACATTGGATTAGGCTTTGAATCTGACGAAAGCATGGGCTCCTGATGAAAGGGTGTTTAAGTGGAGATGGTGTTCGCCTAGCTGAGGCCCACGGCCATGCAGGGGCCGAAGCTTTCGAGAAACGGGTCCTGAGGGCTTGTATAAGACGGCGACTTCAAAGTTCTGTTGATTTTATTACGATTTCTTTTTCTTGCAGCGAGAGATCTTTCTCTGAACTTCGCCCCTCTTCAAAAACATTTTAAAAAAATTTTGTTTTTTGTTATAAATATACGCGGACAAATAAAAGACCTGCTCTCGCGAGAACAGGTGGCCTACGGACCACAAATAACTTCATGGGGCCGAAATTATGATATTCAGGGTTTAACTAAAACAACAGAACAAAAAATATACTTTGCTTACGCAGGAAAACCACTTAGGTGGAGCAGCTTCAAGTTTTGAAGAAAGCAGATTTTTTTAACCAGTTTAGAAGGAGAAAAAATTAAATTAGGACCACTTAAAAAGGAAGAAATCAGCAGTCAAAATTCGAATTTGCGAAGAGTTATATGGCAGACCTTGGTTTCACGGTGTTATTATGACCATTGAAATAAATTAAATTGATGTGCGAAAGCTCAAGTTGGATTCAGAATCACCCGTTAGAGCCATTACCTTAATTGAAGTAATTCAAGCTGAATTGAAATCGAAAAATAGCTAACGGTTAAAACATTGGGTGAGTATAGGAACATACACGCCACAGGTACTGATATGAAGAGGTGTTCACCCACGATGTTACTCATAGTTTAATACGATTTCGTATGAATTCATTTAAAATACAAATAATCTTGCTTCAAATCAGTATCAGAACTGTACTAGTGTAGCTGGAATCAACGAAAGCACCTTGCACTAAAAAAGAAACAAAAAAGTTACATGTAAAATAGTCGACAGGTTTGGCCATGTATATTGACAGGAACATAAGTGCTACTTAGATAAATAACAATAAACAATTATTAATAAATGAGTTTTAAGTGATATCTGGAGTATTCAAGGTCGAGTTAAGTGTTATCGGCCGCGTTTGATAACAATCGCCTAAGCCTTCATTATTAGGAATATCACAAAAACCGATTCTGACAATTGTCAGTATAATACATTGTTTTGCAGAAAATGACAAAAAACACACTGACGGACGGGAAATGGTTTGGCATCGCTCTTGGAAATCGGGTACCTGCTAACAACTTTCTAACCTGCAGGTTGCGTTGATTTCCAAAATTAAATGCGGGTTCTTAGCCAATGAGATGAGAAACGGGGAGGACCATGTATAATAACAATGGTAAAATAACTGTGAGGAAATATTGTTTATTTCTAAAACAGAATCATTACTTGGAAATTGCTACCGATTATTCAGGTTTTGAGTCGAATTAAGTCAACAACCAATTATAACACGTTTTCATCTTTATTAGCAAATTCCAGTCCAGTGAACAATCTAAATCATTCGTTGTTCTGAAACAAACATGATATCAATAAGTGTTACCACAATTAACATTTATTAACCCATTCTTATTTACGCAAAAACTATTTTTCATGTTGCATTTCGGATTCAGTCATTTGAAAAACATCACGCATCGACTACATGGATTATACTACACTAAAATGTCTACGATTTCCTGATAATTCCTTAAGAAATTAAAAACGTCATTTCTTGATAACGATCTCGAGAGGGGTGATGTAGAGCAATGGAGCACCCTTCATGATGGTTTACTTCGACTAAAAGAGAACAAAAAGGGCGGACAATTAGTAATACGTAAACTGGAAGAAAGTTGAAGTGATTTTTACACCATTATTAATGCTATTGCTTCGTATCAAACGCTATTATACCAGACCAATAGGCCATTTGCACGATGGCGTCATTTTACTACTACGACCAGAATTCTTTTCGTTTTTCTTTTCATATTTAAATTTGATTATCCCAGTGAGGTTCAATTGGTACAAGAAAGCAAAACCCTGAGGGATCCTTGTCATTGTAGTAAAATGACGCCATCATGCAAATGGCCTATTAAAAAGTACTGCTTTTCGCGCACTCTGATTGGCTGCTCTCTGAGGCGTGAGCAAGCCGTAATCAGTGCTTGGAAACACCAACTTAAAAACTGTACGTCGGCCTGACATTTTCACGTTTTGCTCCTCTTATTTCATTTCCCTTCTGAACGAGACATGTTCGGGATCATTATACGTTTCCGGGAAACTGCACACCTACCCCTCCCCTAAGTCAACATTTTGCCTTAGGTGAGAACTAAGAGTTAATTTTGGCTTAGGGGAGGGGTAGGTGGGAAGTTCGAACAATTTCCAGTTATTAAGAGAATATGATAAGTAGCCACTGTTCGGGAGAGGAGCTGCGAAAAAACATGAACGTCTCCGAGAGTGCGACGGAAATCGAGCCTAATGGACGGACTACGCTTCTCTTAGAAGATTTCCAATAATACAAACTTTTTTGTCAATTTGCGAGTAGTCACCCCCTGTGAACTTAGCACTGAGGGTCAGTGTTTATTCATCGAAATTTATGGGAGTTAAAGGTTAAAAGGTTAAAGGAATGTTTATAGTGGAAGGTGCACTTAGCTAGTCAGCTAATTTACAGGTACTCCACTCAAATATTTAGAAACAAATAATTCAAATACAACATAACAGGATTAAAAACCCCAACTGGCAGAAGGCAACCAGTTGGCTATTTACAAGCGTGGCCGAGAATTTGAACTCGGGACGACCGAGCACAAATCCAGCAAGTGGCCAGAGCGGGACTCGAACCCGGGACCGCCGGATTGCGAGTCCGACGCGCTGACCACTCGGCCACGCTGCCGGGGAGTACCCCCCGGGGTTTATTTGCAGTTGATCGAAGTTGGGCGTACCTGTTTGTACTTGTCCAGAGCCTTCTGCAATTTGTTTCCAAAGTCAGCATGCACTTTGGAAAAATTAGCCACCTGAAAGTCAACAAGATATACAACTGTGATTATTATGGGATGTAGCCGCCGTAACTGACGGTTTTGTTGGGGAGGGGTAACGGAAGGGTCAGCATAAGCGAGCTGGAAACCGCGAGGAGAGCGGAGCAGAAACAGGGAGAACTCCTTCGCGCCGCTCGCCAAACAAAANATGTTTATAGTGGAAGGTGCACTTAGCTAGTCAGCTAATTTACAGGCACTCCACTCAAATATTTAGAAACAAATAATTCAAATACAACATAACAGGATTAAAAACCCCAACTGGCAGAAGGCAACCAGTTGGCTATTTACAAGCGTGGCCGAGAATTTGAACTCGGGACGACCGAGCACAAATCCAGCAAGTGGCCAGAGCGGGACTCGAACCCGGGACCGCCGGATTGCGAGTCCGACGCGCTGACCACTCGGCCACGCTGCCGGGGAGTACCCCCCGGGGTTTATTTGCAGTTGATCGAAGCTGGGCGTACCTGTTTGTACTTGTCCAGAGCCTTCTGCAATTTGTTTCCAAAGTCAGCATGCACTTTGGAAAAATTAGCCACCTGAAAGTCAACAAGATATACAACTGTGATTATTATGGGATGTAGCCGCCGTAACTGACGGTTTTGTTGGGGAGGGGTAACGGAAGGGTCAGCATAAGCGAGCTGGAAACCGCGAGGAGAGCGGAGCAGAAACAGGGAGAACTCCTTCGCGCCGCTCGCCAAACAAAACCGCAAGCAACGCAGTCAGTTAATATGGCTGAGTGAGTTATTTGTAACTCTACAACGGACCGTCAACTACCGCAAGGACAAGACTTTAAACGGAGATCTTTCCTTTCCTTTCAAATCTGTCGTCTTAAAAATCCGTCTATGTCGACAACAACGAATAATTTTCCTGGCGACCCAGGTCAAAATCAATATTGGTGACCTCATACGATAGCACTGGGCGGAATCAATACATGTAAATAAAACTGACTAGCTTTGATTCAGTCAAAGGGAATGACTTACAGCTCGTTTCTGGATAAATTCCTGAGCATCTTTCAGATGGCCTGCAATGTTGCTTGCTAAGCGATCCCTTCCGGCTTCATCCAGCACTTTCTCCCAGAAAAGGGTAACCTATAAATAATGATAGCGAAAATAGAGTTGAAAAAGATAATTGAAACCAACTATCAAGTGCTGATAATCTTATAATCCTCACATACAATATTTCCTTTTACTGGATACTTCACTAAATTTTACTAACCATCCCCAAAAAACCCATTCACTGAATTTAGGTGCCTGCCAGTAAAAACATCATAACAATCGTAATCAAATTTTCAGATCTTTTTCCAGGCACTGTCGGATATTAAACTACTTCAATGTTAAATTTCGTTGAGACCCCAAAAAAGGTCAAAAGACGAAGGGGCCAATCAGTCAATCAATCAATCAATCAATCAATTAATCAATCATTCATTCAATCAAATGAATGCAGTTACAGGAACTTTTCCTCACCTGAGAGAAATTGTCTTCATCTCCAGACTCATAACGCTTGCAGTCGCCAGATGCCTAAAAGATACAATAACACAGCGTCGTACCTCCAGGTCAGAACATTTTTTAGACTAATTAATTAATCAATATTAAGGTAAAGACTCTTCAAACTCATCAGGAATCTTATAATCTTCTTAGTTACTTGGAATTTGCTTGGTGCATATTTGGCAACGTCATCCTTGGGACCACTAAAGCTGTTGGGGAAATAATTAGGGCAGCCATCTGAAAAGAAAAAAAAAACTTTTTAGATCAGACTAAGGCCATGTTCATAAGGAACTGAATGAAATTTCGAAAAAATTCTTATTCTTGCGTTTAGGTGTTCAGTTTACACGGGTACACGGAGCCAAACAAACCGTACATAAATTCAGACGGCACCCAGCAGTACAAACATGTGAACGCTAAAATCGAGGTCAAATTTAGCTGGTACATCAATGTAAATTTTTAATCTGACCAGCCCTTAGCATGATAAGTTGTCTAGCCTCACGAAGAGGTTCTTAGTACTTTGTCACGCGTTCCTCCCCCACAAGAAACCGTGACTGCACGGGAGGCTACAAGTTGTCGAAATGCTGACTCAGCCCCAGTCGTCTCTCAGTCTTCTATTAAAGCGCGGTCCCCTCGAATTCATTCCCTTCGGTCACACTTCTGGTGTTCCGTCCCCAGCGTGCCGCATGCGATTCAAGAGAGGACTGGGGACGAGTCAGGTCATCCAGGCACTCCCGCGTCAACCGAGCTATATAACAATGCGTAAGTTACATCCTTACAACCGATAGCGGACTTACTTTGATTGTCATATGTCTGTGGTCCATCCCTCTGGTAATTGCTCACTCTGGTTTTATAAGGGCAGTTCACTGGCAGCTGGAGGTAGTTGGTTCCCAGTCGGTGAAGGTGGGTGTCATGGTATGAGAACAGTCGACCCTGATACAAATATTCAGTCATAGATAAGATATGTTGAAAGAACACTTCCTCGAAAAAAGGTCGTTCATCGAATAACATTGTACATATCAAAAAGGCTTAGTCTCAGGGAAGAATTCGAAATCTAAGAAACGGGGGACACACGGATCTCGGTTCGGTTGCATTTTAGCTCGTTTTGTCCCTTACTATACCTGAAGCATCTTGTCCGGAGATGCTTCAATTCCAGGAACCATACTGGCAGGGTTGAAGGCGCTCTGCTCAATCTCGGCGAAATAATTCGACGGGTTGCGATCGAGGACCATCTTGCCAACTGGGATCAGAGGGTATTCAGAATGTGGCCAGATCTGGGAACAAAGACAGCACAACGCACTCAATTTAAAAATTCTTATCGACGTCAATAGAACTACATGCAAATTAGAAATCTAATTCTATTGAGCTTATGAGGGTAAAAAAGAATGTGACAAAATTTGATGTCAACTGAGAAGATTGAAAACTAGACATGGCGTCAAAAATTGCTTAGAATAAAAGAGTTGCAGACCTTTAAAAGGGACTAAATTACTCAGTGATGGTGAAACTGAAAAAAAAAATGCCGCATGGAAAGTGGCGTGGCAGGGTTCGAAGCGGAGTTGACCATTTCTTTCATGGTATAGTTAATCACAGTATCAGCAGGTTACCTTGGTAAGATCAAATGGATTGAATGAGGATTTTTCAGCCTGTTCGAAGGTCATCACCTGGATGTACATAGTCCAAGATGGCTACAAGAAAGGGAAAATACAATTGTTAATACTCTAGCATAAGCAACTGATTGTCAACAGCCTCCTTCCACTGCAAGTTGTCACTTTTCTGGCATTATACACTGTAGTAATGAGCCTCTCTATGGGCTGAAAGGTACCTGCGAATGTCGTTTTCGTCGCGCGTTTTCCATCAAATCGGCGTTATTTTCAACAAAATAAATCGTCGCATATCAAGAATTGTCTTGCGTGATAACACTATAAGCGAGCTTGACCAACCTACAACGACGACGACGACGGAAACGCGAAAATCAAAAAGACAAGACAAAACAAAAAATCTGAACGTGCAGCACACGTTTCGGTAGATTTCTTTGCTGCCATCGCACGTCTTATGTTGTCAAACGTCATTGGAATGGTAATACGACCGTCGCCAGTAATCTTTAAGATCGTCGCTTTGTTAATAGCGATCGTCGCGACTTCGATTTAATCGAAAAAACCCATTCACATGCTTCTTTGCCATTCAAAAGAGGTCATTAAAGACCCTCCACACAAGTGACAATCGTACAGAAAGTGTAGGGGACGTAGACCCCTATGCTGACTAGACTGACTGGTCTGTCTGGTCTGTCTTCTAATTAGAGTATGTTTAGGGAAGGGACCGTTTCGTCCCCACAGTAATTAGTGTGAGCTATTGTTATGTCCGCTCTTTGACTGGCAAAACTCGATACACATCTAACTTCTGAGGGAAACAACCGCCTACGGAAGTGAAATTGCTTTCATCAAATTCGATTGTATACACAAAAAATCAAACGTTCGCTAGCTCATTACTCACGTGCTTTCCATTAGCAATGGCATTGTAAAGCATTCTGTTGTTATAATCTGGATCGGAACCAGCCAACTTCTCTGCTCTCTCAGGGGACAGATTTTTTACTCCTTCATCAGTCTGTCAAAAGAAAAAAAGGAAAGGTTTTTTGTTAATAATATTTTATTAACATAAGATTAATATATATATTTTTAATATATTATAAGATAAAGGAACGACGTGGATCGACGTGGGTCTCGTCTTAGTAGATTTTATATATCATACCCTAGCTATACATGATACTTTCACTTGAAAGCTCTGCTAAAGAAACTAATTTCAGCCAAGTAATAATTGATAATATGAAAATGCAGACATCTTATTAATTGCTCCAGCACAACTCCGTCTAATTTTGCTGTAATAAAAAAAGGTAAAGGCGCACACGAGTCAAAGGCCCAAACGGCCGGAGCTTATCCCGGTTTCCTTAGCATGAAGCATGCATAGGAGTATTGCTACTCCACTCTGGACGGGAAGCTAGTCCATCGCAGGGTTACCCCCCAGCAGTTTGTCGCCGGTACCCATTTATACACCTGGATGAAGAGAGACAAAGTGGAGTAAAGTTTCTTGTCTAATTAAATAACAACGCCACAGGCGAGGCTTGAACCCCGGACTTCCAGATCCGGAGTTCGAGGTGTTAACCGCACGGGCACACACGTTCACACAAGTAGCAAAAAGGATCACAATAAATTACAACCCCGTTTACGATTACAAACACTTAGCATGCTACGCCTTAGCGAGAAAGATATAATCGAAACACAGCTTGCATACCTTAGCATGGAATTTGCAGTAGACAGCCTCCCCTTTGTCGTTCACCATTTTGAAGGTGTGACTTCCATACCCATTCATGTGCTGGTACCCATCAGGAATTCCACGGTCACTGAACAGGAAGCACACTTGATGAGTGGTCTCTGGACGAAGGGTGATGAAGTCCCAGAACATATCAGGATCCTGCATTGAGGAAACACTCGATATTAGGTTACTATTTTTAGTTCATTGTAACACAACATCTTTTAAAAATACTGTGATTTTATTGGTTAAAAATTTTCACGGTTTTAGTTCAGGGTATTCAATGATATCATAAAAGCAATGAGAGGCAAATACTTGCTTCTGTCTTGTTAGTCTTTCAACCGTCCCTTTTTCGCTGTTCTGTTTTTTTTTTCAGACTTCGGAAAAGCTTGTTTGTGTATCGCTAGTTAACTCGACCGTTCCGTCAACGAGACCACTTATTAATCAACGGAATCTGAAGGAATTAACCCAATTTGATTATTCTACTTATTAAGGAAGGGTAAATATAACTTCCCGTTTCTTCTACGTGAAATTTAATAATTGTGTCTATTTACCTTCAAATGTGTTACAGGGTTCCTCTTCTGAGTATGGATGAAACTTGGGAACTAAAAGTAGCGAGAGATGAAAATTAAACGAGTGTTAAACGTGATTAAAATGATTAACGTGGTCTGCTTCTTCCCGTGAAAAGTTACAATAAAACAAAAAGGAGTGCCACTACCGAACCAAGGGAAATTATTCAATCTTTCCTCCGCGTCTCATCTTCCTCAGCCTTCCTGCGGGTAGCAATTTTGACGCTTTCTCGTTTTCTTCCCTCCCTATATAGCAATTTTCGAGTGAGTTTGTGTATTTCGTACGTTGTATTATCCCAGTGAAAAATAAGGGCTATTCATAGTCTAGGGAAATTATTCTTGCAGATAAGGAGGGTGAAATGCTGTCCTTACAAAGATTGGATCCCTGATAAAGAAGATGGGGGTGTTGTTTCCAACTAGGTCCCAGTTTCCTTCCTCGGTGTAGAACTTCATGGCAAAACCACGGGGATCACGGGCCGTGTCGGCACTGCCAGATTCACCGCCTGAAAATAAACCCAGAATTAATAACTATAACGAACTTTGTTTAAAGTATCTTTAAGCATTTAATATGTCTGATTAGTTTTTGTTATCAGGCATATAAGACGAGTAAACATGTTGTTTTTCTTTCCTCGGGTGTTCTTTATATTAACGAATGAAACAACAAATTTATAGCCGAAAGATTGGTTTTATCAATTCAGTGAATTTTGGTCGTAAATTCACTCACCAACTGTTGAGAAGCGAACTAAGCATGGGGTCTTCTTTCCAACGGTGTCAAAGATCTTGGCCTTGCAGTACTTTGAGATGTCATGAGTAACTTCAAAGTACCCAAACGCTCCACCGCCCTTGGCGTGTACCACTCTTTCGGGGATTCGCTCCCTGTCAAAATGACTCATCTCATCCAGGAACTGGACATCCTGCAGCAGTAGGGGTCCGCGGGGTCCCACTGACATGGTGGCGGTCTTAGTGTCGATGGGAGCACCATATCCAGTGGTACAGATGTCTGATGTCTGGAAGAACCCAAAATAAGGTCTTATTAGGGATCGGCTGGGATAGGGTCCAATATTAGACATAAAACAGAGGGACGAGATTTTGGGGCAAAAACAGTTGACGAGATACGGGATATTTAGACCTATAAGAATGTCCATGATTGTCAAAAAGAGAAAAACATAGGGATACTGAGATTCTGGGATATCACGTGTATACAGCTTTACTTAAACTAGAAATTCTGAGATGTCGAGGGGTCAAAAAGACCTTTCTTGATTGATGCAAAAAAGACAATAGGTTCATTGAACGATACCTAAAGGTAAACAGCTAGAGCAAGACTCACAAATGAGATGGACAAGTTTGAGCTCAGTTAGGGAGTCTGACCGAGGAAAAGCTTCTCCTTCCTTCGAAAGGACGTCAGAATGAGTATTGGGGTACAAGGCATAAGGATTAATGGGATACATTTATGCCAACTGATACTGGGATATACAGAATCCCTCAGCTGTTTTAGTCCATGCGGTTTTGTTTCAGTGCACTATCGTGTTTTTTTTTTTTCCAGTAACTTCCTTATACTGTTGCCCCATTTGCTAATTAAGCTATATTGACATAACTGAGAGAGCAAGTTTAGTGGCAATAATAACCTTTTCAGAATATCACTGAAATCCTGCAGGAGCCGATTGGTTCCTGAATACTGCTATTAATTTTTGCATTTGCATATCCCTCGACCATTATCATCAATTAAAGATAAAAGTGTCAGTCCGTAGGTGTATTTATTTCCTGTTAGTTACGGTTATCGTTGTGGGCGGGCAGGAAAGGCGAATATGATATTCAGTGTTGTATGGTTCTGTCTCGTACCTTATGTCTTGTCTGATTCACGCCACATTCATTTTGCAAACATTTGTTGTTTTTTTAGTCCCCCCCCCCCCCCCCCCAAAAAAAAAAATGAGATAAAATGTGAATGTTCAATGTTTTATAGTGAATATTAAGGTTTCACTCAGATGAGTCGTGCGATTGGTGCGATTCGTGACATATAGCTAAGCGATATAACGTCATAGATCAAACAATGATCCTGATTGGCTTAGCTATTTACCTAATCGGTGCATATTAATTAGCTATTCGATGTCACGGAAATTTCGTAACTTCTTCAGGGCTATCTTTTTAATCAAATACTTGGTACAAATTGCCTTGAATTTAAAGGCCGAGATCAGGATAGCAGAGCTCGCACGAATTTGTCTAAAACATGACAATAGGCCAGGATTATAAGCAGTAATCCTGCCATCTATGAGTGGAAAAAATCTTATGTGTCAATGTTGGAGGTCACGAGATGTTTTGAGAGGTGTGTTCTAGGCGTAGTAAGGGCCAGCACCCGAAGGCGTCTCTTCGCTGTGAAAGTCACTACATCAAATTCATGTAACAAGCATGACGAAATGAAAAGTAAACTGACCGACTTACCTCTCTGACGACTTATGTAAAGAAAGCGAACATACAGAGCAAACACAAATAAATAATTCAATAAAATCAATGGTGGCTGGTATGGGGAATGGACAAAACAACTAAACGAGCTACAACTAAAGGAACCATAGAACTTACTCCTAGGCCGCTTTGAAAAACTGAGCAATTTACTTGTCAGTTTCGAGATTTTTTGTCGTATTGTGTTTCGAAATGATTCATGAATCGTGACGTTTTGCAAGTTCCTCTGACGAAGGCATTGAAATTCCGAGTGAAAATCATCATAATCAGCATACATTCTCTTCCACTTTATCGGTATTTTACTTTATAGCGACGTAAATGCACGGGTCGAAGAATGTCGTTCTTTAAGTTTTATGGGAGGTCTCGATCAGCTGAAGAGGTTCCGAGCATTCGATACATTCGCGCGAACGATACGCAATAAACTAGCAAAAGCAAAAGATGCGCACGCGCTATGTAACAATCTGGGAGAGTTTTTCCTTCCAAACTTGAAGCAAAGGCCAAGTAAAAAAAACTGTCAAACAGAGAATCAAGCGTACGATGTTCTTTTCACTGGTGGCGTCGATCCCTCCAAGACAAATACGTAAACAAGAAATTAGTAAATAATAACGAACATTGCCACAAACCTTTTTTGCCGCAGCAAAATCACTTAACTGTTCCGATGCTTTTGTTCTGCTGGCCATTCTTTGGCGGCTTTTTCGGAGATTTTTTTTAGCTTTCAAACACCCCTTCTTCGTGCGTGGCAGAGCCTTTGAGATCCCAGGCTAAGTGACGTCGTCACGTTTAAACCCCACCGTGAAACTGCTTTGCACATTTGATATTTGACATGTCACGCACAGACGAAGGCTTTAATTCAACAACAACGAGCTGTTTTTGCATGACCAGACAAGTACATATAGTATTGCAAAAGCTATTTTAATTGTCACTCACTCGAGACCACTTATCATACTTAATGTACTTAGTTTGGCAGTTAATATTGGCATCGCCTCCAAGTTCCGACACATTCAAGTTTTTCGAAATAGTGCTAGCAGAGATTGACAGAAAAATTTATAGGTAGGAACCTGTTAGGTTAGCGGGTAGGTACCAAAGCTAGGCATGGATTAAAGATAATTGCTTTTTCATAATATCAAACTGTTTTAAAGGTCAGTTGTCATACTGGTCACGGTTAGTTGTCATAACGTACTTAGGGCGGGGAGAGTCATATATTGGCTAACTATGTTTCTGATAAAACATACAGAGAAAGTAAATAGCCTCCGACCCCTCCACCACGAAAACCTCGGGAAAACCAACGATTTTTTCCTGTAGGTAGGGGGCAGGTGTACACAGCCTAAGAAAGTAATATGTTCCTGCTCTAACAACAACCACAAAAAAAAACCAAAGTAAACAAACAAATAAACAAAACACAAGTACCTCAGCTCGAAATTAGAGTTCAGACTGATACGTGCAACCCGCCTCTCTAAGTGAGCACCTCCCATTTAAGCGTTCCTTACCTAGATCTCTCCAAAACGCCAAAATTTCCCAGTCAAATCCCTGTGGCTGGATCCTCGCGACATTAAGCACTTATAGTAAGCCACTACGGCCTTTTATGGGCTGACGGTTTTCCATTGCCATTCAGTTTTCGGCGACCGTCTAACCCATAGTCTGATTTTTTCTATATATGTTCACAGTATGGGTACTACGCTACCAAGAGTATGGGAAGAACTTTTAGTGACAACATGTAACGTACGTATGTCTTGGGACCTCTTCTTGAAAGAGCTTCCTGAAATTGTCAGCTCTCAAGAAGACGCACTTTAGGGCAGTCTACTTGTTACTGTCGTAAAGAAAGGTTTCCGTACCTAAAAGGGGAAGTTGACTTAAGGCGTTAGAAAAAGATCGAAGGGTGCAGGTGTATTTGCGAAAAGAGAGAGTCAGCACAATGAACAATACCTAGTTATGTAACTGAACGATTATATAACAAGCCGAGCAACGGTAAAATGTGCTCTTTTGTGCATTAAATTTTGTGGACACTGACGTCATAAATAAGGACCGATTAATAAAATCAATTGTTTTTTTAAGTCCATTCCTAGAGGCTAAAGTGAAAAAAAAAGTGACTTCTTATCGTTGCAAAATGCAATTTAAACAGGAACTCGTACAGTATGAAACATTTCATGACCTAAGAACAAATAGCCACTGAGATATAGCCGAGTTTTTCGAAGTCCGATTTTGCTGCAAAAGTTAGTAAAGCATAGTACATTCAAACAAGTTTAACTGGCCATGAAACTCCCATATCATTATTATTGTTGTTGTTATATGATGCACAAAACTGACTAACGCCTTGATATTGTTAACCACGATAAGTTTGACACCGCACTGTTCTTGAAAAATTGTTAAGACCTTGTAAAACGGATAGATTACACCAGGATAACTTACATTTAATTTATCTTGGTCAGTTATGATTTTTCCTATCAGTTTTTCTTCCCTTTTTCTTTTTGAAAAGGACTTTGACACAACCAAAATGACGTTCAATATCGGGAAATGATAGCCAACCATTCACATATCTGTTGCGGCTGTATCAGTTTGTTAGTTTTTACATTTAACCCAAAGACAAAACACACAGCTCACGTATAGTTTAAGAGCGTGCGGGAGTAATTTCTTTAAACATGGGCGTCTAATATAAAATTCAAGTTCATTTTTGAACTGAACTGGTTTCGTGCTAGGCACTTTAGCAGAGCTGCGTCTGATATTGCAGTAGAATTAGATGACAGAAAACAGGAAGTTCTGTTCATAAAGTATAGTAGACGTTCATCGACCTTTGTATAAACTTGGGCTTCCAATCTTTCAAATTTCCATCCCTGGAAATTTTCCTAGCATTAAATGCACTCTTGTAAATAATTAACAAAATAATTTGTAATAAAGGGATCTAGGCATCTCTCGTGCCAATGCTGCGTCATTGAAATGAAATAATTCTTATCTTTTGAGGTTCTACAAATATTTTGACTTAGTCTGATTCAAGTCAGGGCAATGATAACGAATATTCGCTGATATCCACGTCGTCTTTGGCGATGATCGTCAAAGAAGGCCAATTTTTTTCTTTTATCAGGAGCTTCTTGTGTTATGTAACATCGCCTGAAAAATATACTACTAACTTGTAATAACTATCATTATAATTAAGAGGAAAGTTGAGCAGATGTATCATTTTTTTTTTTTTTTTAAAAAAAGTAGTTAAGCCCGTTAAGAAAGGGCCTAAATCGCCGAGGGTGACCTCAATTGCATCTGACGGCGGACCGGGAATCACATACCCATATGGATTGCTGTAACTGGAGAAAAACTAGTGCTTTCTGTCGAGATCAGTTAAATACCATCTATAACTATCGTTCTATTTTTAAAATCCCTTATCGAGGAAGATATTAACCGAAAATATCTCAGTCTTTCGGTTCAACTGCTAATATAGGTGTTTTATATATATCACCGATTTATTTCCTTAACAAAGACCTTAGATATTATTTGCGAAATTATCTGAGATATCATTTTAAAGGTATATCATGTGCCATCAGGCACGGCTAGAAGATAGAATATTAGTTTAATAACATACTCAGTTAACAAACCGCATTGCAATCAGCCATTTTAATTGTACGCGTTGGAAAGTGGAAGGGCCAGAGAACAAGGAAATACGTACGTTGCATGCCCTGGTATGCAGTTGTCTAACCTGAACCTTTGTCACTGCTTTGTTGAGTGCTCTCGAAACTCTTACAAAGACTTGCAATGGGATAGCATTTGTCTTCGCACGAATCGCTCTGCTATACGCAAGGATATTCTCAAAGGCAAGTCACGCGTGACAAGGTCTGTTAAAAGTAAATAAATAAGTTTTTAAAACAACACTCCCTCGAGAGAAAGATCTGCTGCCTACCTTCTTACTCTTTGCATAGTCCGCAAGTTGTTCGGAAGCTTTCGTACGATCAGCCATGTTTTCGATGTCTCAGAGGTTTCGTGCACTGACGGAGACGTCTCTTTTATGAAGAAAAGGACGAAATGTATTCAGCAGCTGCTGAGTCACAGTGATTAAAAGCAAAGTGCCCTGATCATAATATTGCTAACGTCACGTTTTGTCATAGAAGCCAGCCTTGATCCTCATTGGTCTGTCAGTTAATTTCATGGCAGTGAAGAATATCTAATCATAGGTCACAAAATCCATAATACAATTCAAAAAGAAGCTTCCTGGTGACGCAGAATGTAGAGCTTAAAATTATTAAAATGTCTTAGCACTTCCATTTTATTCTCATCGAATCTTCTTAAAGTGCTTTGATGAATAATTTTGAATGTTTTGTTGTTAAAATGTTGTACAAAATAAATAATATTAATACTAGTTTTAAATGTTAGGAAAGTGGTCTCAAAACATCGTTGTATTTAGTGGGGATGTAAGTCGATCTACTTGGCCATTTGTCAGCAAATAATTCGTTCACTTAAGGACAAAAAATTTGGCATCAAAACAAAACATGCCCCTTAAGTTATTAATTTAAATTTTACTGGCGATGGTCGATGTTATTGCATCTGTTACCGCTGTGTTCAATCATGCATACGCTGAAATTACGCAAAAGCTCTATGGATATTTATACTCTACTTCTTTCTATTTTAGGCATATTTTTGGAATTGTTAGACAATCTCTAGTAAGTACTTTTTCAGGTATGGCCCCAGTCAGTTTCACTCGCCCCCGCGGTCGAACCTGCACACCTGATATCATGCAAGTGTCATTACCACTCATGCTATATTCAATAAAACTACAACCCATGATGTTCCACGATCCTCATCACTGAAAAATTGATATCTCTCGATACTTAGCCGGGTTTCAATTATAGCAAATATCTGGCCGTTTTAGATTTCCTTAAATAATGAGTTTAAATACAGAATAGTCTGAGGTAAACTGAAACCCGGTAGACGACAACAAGCATATTTATGCTGCTTTACTTTCACACAGGATGTGTATAGCGATCTTTTACGTCAAAAAAAATCACAAAAACTGTATTAAATTTTAAAAAAGCGAAGATTAACACTATTCACCCCTGAAAATGGTGAGTGTAAATTGGTTCTCTCGACAACGATCGCGAAGAACCGTCACAGGTGACAGTTGACGATATAGACAAAAATATTATATTATAATTTTCTAGTATTTTCATAAACAGTATTAAACACTGCTGGGGTCTAATGATGTCGCAATCCGCTTAAAGGCATCCATTAAAGAATGAATAATAATACTAAACGCTGTAAACAAAATGTGCCGGACTGATTCTGAACAAAAGGCTCTCTGACTCGATCGGAACTGAACTGCCAGCATTGCTAGTTTGCACGAGACGCAATCACTACTCCCCCTAAAATTCAATTTTTAAAATAACAAACAGCTATAATTACAAAATACTTTTGTTTGTACTATCTTTTAGCTGAAAGGGATCATCCTTTTTCATACAGGGCACGGATGAATCTCAAAGTCATACTGAGGTTAAATGAAGCTTTTTAAAGGAAGCGGTCACGTACAGCCTGTAGCTTTTAAAACTGAGGCGACTTATCGACTGATTTTTTGCTGCCTAAACAGACATTGTATCAAGAATAATGCAGTATTAAAAATGACGCCTATAAGTTCCGAGTGAAGACAAATGATTCCTAAAGCAAAGTTTTTAATTTAAATGTTCTGTTTGTTTTTGGCCGCCATTTTGGAAGTCCATACTTGGTCATACTTCGCGGCCGCACAGACCTGAATCTTAAGCCGAGACTGTTTGCATTTCTGCTGAAGGCACATCGTAATCTCAAAAGGTTATGACGCGTGCAGCACGATTTTGCAATTTCTGGAGTTTAGTAGCAAGACCGTGATCTTGTGCCGACGCAAGAAAAACTATATAGAGTGTTTTCACTCACGTGGCCAGCGTCTGTATGCAAATTTATTGGAACAAAAGAAAGCGTTTACATAAGAAAAAAGTTCAACTCCCACAGGACTGGTTTGGGGCACAAACATGGCCGCCGTTTCATTGTTTTGGGATACAAATATGGCCGCCGTGACGTCATGTGAAAACAGTCTATACCAGTATAGTGTGGACACATCCTGACTCAAACACCAAGTTATGCAACTAACTTTCTAGGTACAACTCTGAGCATGATTTGCTCTGGAGGACATGTGAGAACCGCACCAACAACAACATCGACTGGAACCTGCAAGAAAGATAATGGACAGTGTGATCTTTATTCCAGCTATCAATCAAAATATGATTTAAATCTAAATCGCTAGGAAGTGAACCCGAAAGTGTGTGTTCAGCTTTTAACTGAGATATGAACAGGGTCATCCCCGGTGTAATATAATTTCTTGGTTTTCTTTGTTTTATGGACTATTGTCAGGGTAAGATTCATTGTAATAAATTATTACATTACACCGGAGACGAGCCATATAACATTGACAGGCCAGCTAAGTAAGATCTGAAAATGCTTTATTATCAATGGATGTTGCATACTGGTACGTTAACTGGCTGGCATTACACACTGGCAATTTGATAATCACTATCGTAAATCTGATTATTGCCAACGAGCAGCCTCGCAAAGACGTGAGGCTGCAAGGTAGCTGCAATCCGTGCGCGAAAGTTCCAGGGCAGAATGAATCTCGAAGCGATGTAACATAAGGTAATGTAAGGTAACTTTTATGACGTAATAGAGAACAGAGAATACTGGCGGTCGCTCGGGATGATCTGGGGAGAGCGGGGTGGAAATGAGGCATCGAGGGCCGGCGGCTAGATCATTCGGTACCAGGAAGGTGTATGAGGAAAATGGCGCGAAAATTTCTTTTCATATGTTTCCAATTCCAGACGTGGCGCGCCGGTTGTTTCAATTTGTTGACGTGATTTTTAACGTGACGTAACATGTCCTGTGAAATGAGCTGTTATAGAATCTACCTACCATCGTTATTTTTCACCTTGATATCATTTTGCTACCGTGATCGTGATGCAACGTTTTCTACCTTGATATCATTTTAATACTGTGATGTGAGTTTTTCTGCCTTGATGTTATTATTTTACAACCATGATGCAACATTTTCTACCTTGATATCATTTTAATACCGTGATGTAATATTTTTTACCTTGACGTCGCTTTACTACCGTGATGGAACATTTTCTACCTTGATATAATTTTACTGCCGTAATAGAACATTTTCTACCTTGACCGCATTTTGCAACCGAGATGTGGAACATTTTCTACCTTGATATCATTTTAATACTGTGATGTGACATTTTCTACCTTGATATCTTTTTACTACTGTGATGGAGCATTTTCTTCTTTAAAATTATTTTCTGCCGTAATGGAACATTTTCTTCCTTGATATCATTTACTACCGTGATGGAGGATTTTCTTTCTTGATATCATTTTACTACCGTGTGATGTAACATTTTCTAACCTAATATCATTTTACTACCGTAATGAGCAATTTTCTACCTTGATATCATTTACTACCGTGATGTGACATTTTCTACCTTGATATCATTTTACTGCCGTCACAGGTTGAAAAAAGGCGTTTCCGTTTCCGTTTTTGTAACGGTTACCTCACGGAAACCTGAATATCCGCAGACGGAATTGTAACTAACCGTTGCGGGAAACACGTGTATCCGTCATGTTTCAGTTTCTGCGGAGGCGCTTAAACGCATCCCTTATACTCGCGTTTCCGTCAGGTTTACTCTTGCGGAAACGCTAACTGCCGTCATGTTTCCGCAGCTCGTAAATTCAGAGGATACTCAATTATCCGTTAAGTTCCCGGAAGAATGAATGCGGAAACTCAGTTTGATCGGTTTACTTTCTGCAGCCTTCATGTTCACCCAGATTCCACTTTCGGTGGATTATTCACTAGATTTCCTAAATGTGTTAACTTTACTTAACCATCCAGTTTCG